GTTGTAGTTCCCAGTTTGACCTGATGGTGGCGGCGTTAGATCACTGAACTCTGCCGACAAAAACGGCTTCGCTTCTACAAAAAGTGTGTGAGTGTGTGTGTGTGTGTGTACCTGTGCAGTGTCTGTCGGTCAGTGTGTATCCCCGTTGACAGGACACACACCTGTACGATCCCACGGAGTTGACACACATCTGTCCGGGACACTGAGACGGTTCTGCACACTCGTCTACATCTGAACACACACACACACACACACACACACACACACAAGCAGGTGTTGATTAATTGATCCGATCGATCTCGTTTCTGTAACTACGGAGCTAAAGGCAGCACGTTAGCTTAGCTTAGCACAAAGACTGGAAACGGGTGGAAACCGTTAGCCTGACTCAACAACACTCTACTGAGTGCTGAGCCGAAGCCCGTTTACCTGTGCAGGTGTTGTTCTGGAGCTTGTAACCATGGCGACAGACGCAGCGGTAGCTTCCGGGTGTGTTTTCACAGCGGCCGTTGGAGCAGGGAGCCTGCCGACACTCGTCGATGTCTGCAGACAGTCAGAACGAGGTTTATGGTAAAAACACTCGACTCTCTGTGGGGGAGGGTTCGTCAGGTAGTTGTGTAAATAAACGTTAACGTGGGAACAAACAAACAAACAAACAAACAAGAGACGCTAAACCAAAGCAGAAATAAATTAATTCAGAACGATAGAAACTATTTTTCACTGACATAGGTGAGAATTTAATTTAAAAAAAGAGATTTTAAAACATATTTCACATGTTTTGCTTTTTTTTTGGAGATATTTGACATTTTTTTGAAAATTCAGAAACCACAATTAATTTTTTTTTGGGGGTGTTTTCGTTAATATTTTAAAACATGTTTCAGATATTCTACTCAGCACATTTTTAAATGATTCTTTAAAATGATTTTCTAGAAAGTCTCTTTATGCTAAAGTCCCGGACTTATTATTAATATTAGCCTGTTAGCTTATGTTAGCTAACATGCATCGTTAGCTGAAACAAAACATGAGCTAACTGAGTGAACAGATTTCCCACGTCATCGTGCTCTGAGGCTACGTAAACGTCGACAGGTAAAACAGGTGCTTATGCAGCACCGAGTAAAACCGTCACTAAGGGAAGCTAATGTCTGTAAAGTGTGAATGCTAAGCTAAGTGTGGCTACAAGCAGCAGCGTGTGGCTGAAACACGCTCGTCCCTGCTGAGCCAGAGCAGGTAAATTCACAGCAGGTGAGCAGCAGGTGGGCGTTACCTGTGCACAGCCTGTTCAGGAGCCCGTAGCCCGGCTGGCAGGACACGCAGCGGTACGAGCCCTGAGTGTTGATGCACTCCTGACCCGGACACCTCAGCGGGTCGACGCACTCGTCCACGTCTGGAACACACAAAGTACAGGTGAGCAGGAAAACATTCAGAGCTTTACTGATCAGCAGCAGCTTAATCAATAAATGTTTTTATTTTTTTCTGGTGTTGTTTGGATAAAACAACTAAATAATCAAAATAGTTGATTCTGAGATCAATAACATGTAATAATATCATTAATTAATCAGATGGATGAGGTAACTAATGACTGTTATTAACCTTAACGTGTACAGCGTGTATCCTGTGTGTCTTTACCTGTGCAGGTGTTGCCGGTGAGTCGGTAACCGAGGCGACAGACACACCTGTAGCTGCCCGGCGTGTTGTCACAGCGACCGTTGCTGCAGGGATTCTGGAGGCACTCGTCCACGTCTGAGGTTCACACAGAGACACCAGACTTATGATGTGACACTAGAGAGCTTTTCAGTTGATCTTCAGGAAACTCTTCTTGTATTTTACTCATTTTATTTGATTTTTATCATTTAATTGCTTTAATTGATGCAGAATTTTCTATTTTTTTACACTAAAACTTGAATATACATGATGGTACTCCATACAAATGTAGTTTTATTATTTTTATTTTATCATTTCACTAATAGTTCTTTTAGTTTTCACCGTCTGATATTTGTCCTGAACCAAACAAGCGTTCACCTTGACAGCTGGTCTGCTGGCTGCTGCTCCTGTATCCGGATGGACAAACACACCGGAAGCTTCCGGCGCTGTTCACACACTCTCCCACCGAACACACACCTGGAGACTGAACACACTCATTCACATCTGCACACACACACACACACACACACACACACACACA